CACTAAATTTAATTCTCTTTTTATTTTTATTTATTAGAAATTATAAGTATTTGTTCTGTGTATTTTATTTTTATTTCAAATTTGGTAAGGAATTCGGACGTAATGCTCAGGCAAATCTTGTTTATTGTATTTTTCTCTATAATATATATATTTTTTAGATTTTTTTGATGACTTTGTTTTTTTTTTTTTTTTTTTTTGGGGTCCGCGATCGACCCGAACGGCCGAACGCATCCCCAAGGGGTCCTTTACGTTCGGGCATTCGACCCATCCCGAACGCCGGTTACCCTGTATATATATATATACATATATTCTGGGCATATGACTATGTAAAAAAAAAAAAAAAAATCACCAAAGATGATGGTGTCGGAAATGGGTTTGCACACCCAGTAATTTTAATTCTTTAATTTCTCTTTTTATTTTTTCTTATTTTCTTATTAGTATTTGTAACAATTATGGTTCGACTGTCTATATAAGATGAGAAAATACAATAATACGAGTATCAGTTTTGATTTATCAATTTAAAAATATATATATATATATATATATATCGTCACAAACAGAACTGCCCGGTAAATCGTAGGCAGAGAGAGAGAAGAAGACAACAAACGAGGGGCTGTGACAAACTGTTTATATATATATATAGGGTCACCAACTTATACGTACAGAGGTCCCTAGGCAGACCTCCGTACCTGTGTAACACATTGTACGTGTTCGGAGCGTTTCCAAACGTCCGAACATGTTCAGGTCTTCGGCTGAACAAATGAAAAAAAAAGAATTTTTTTTTTTTTTGTTTTGGTTTTCGATTTTTAACACGAGTTTGGTTACGAATTTGAGCATACCTCCAAGGCAAACGTTGTTTGTATTATTATTTTATACAACATATATTATTTTCAGATTTTTTGGAGAACATGTTTTTTTTATAAATATTTTTTATGTTCACGTTTGGAGGGTTTCGACCCTCGTTCGCGTTCGGTCGCGAACGTTCGGGTTCGGTCACCGAACCCGAACACGATGCTACACAGGTCTGTACATACGACGTTCGTCCCCTTCCAAAAATTATTTTGGGGACTAAAAATATATATATTTTTTTTTTTGACTTTTTTTTTTAGTTCTCTATGACGTGAGGTACATGCCTATAAATTTTCAAGTCATTTGGCTCAGCCAAATAAAAATAAAAAATTGCCAAAGATGGCGGTGTCAAAATGTGTTCCCCCACGTTTTGTTTCACTTTTTACTTTTTGTTTTCACTTTTGTTCAGAGTCTAAACAATTTTATTATTAAAAAAAACAAATTAGTGGGTTTTGCGTTATGTGAAGTACATATCTGCAAATTTTCAGAATATTTAGTTATAAAAAAAAAAAAAATCGCCAAAGATGGTAGTATCGAAAACGTGCTCGCGTACTCACTAAATTTATTATTATTATTTTCTTTTTTTATTATTAGTATTTGTTTTTCGTATTTTATTTTTATTTCAAATTTGGTAAGGAATTTAGGTATAATGCTAAGACAAATCTTGTTTAATTTATTTTTCTTCATAACATATATTTTTTTTATATTTTTTTCTTTTTCTTGTGTTCACGTTTGGCCCTAACGGCCGAACGCATCCCCAAGGGATCCCATACGTTCGGGCGTTCAGGTTCGGGCGTTCGGCCCGTCCCGAACGCCGGTTACCCTGCATATACACATATATTTTTTTAATATACTATAACTATTAGGGGATTGTTTTTCAATAATTAGTCTGAATCATGAATAGCAATAATGTCTTGTAATTTTTTATAACGATGAAAATTTTATTTTACTTCTTTAGCAATTTCATAATGTGATTGTCCTACGATCAATGACTGAAACACAGTAGATGTTGAATCAAGTGGATTTTTTACTGGATATATTTTGTTGTATCAAAATTCTGGCAAAAAATAGTAGTAACATCTAAATCAGCAAAAGTATTAGTAGGGGCTTCATCAATTAAATCATCTAGTAATACATAAACTACTTGAATATAGGTAATAAAACCTTTTTTTGTCGAAGCATTGTTTTCTTGAAGACTGTCAATTTATGTACTTAAAATAAATCGATAACCTACTGTTGAAGGCATTCTACCTAATAAAGCAAAAACTTATGATCCAGCCTATACAAATATGATAATATTATCAATAAATTTAGAGATACTATTGTGTTTATGACTTTGTTTACGTATCTGATAAATAAATCTCTTAACAAGTAAATATTGACATATTATATTCATATGAACCAATTTCGATTGCTTTATATTTCTTATGTTCAGTATATGGTTATTTATACAGCATATGTCCTGATCTCACCCTTCTTTTGTCCCTAGTTACGAGTTTCATGTGATCCTACTGCAAGCAAAAAAAGTTTATTGACATTTGTTAAGTGGGACAAACCATAATCACAAGAGTAGCCCTTTCCAATTAAGCAAACGTCATCCTTTCGCCCTCACTCGAACACACCACTACCATCACTTTAGCTAACCCAACAACAAGCTATGGTATGTAGGGATCACTCTATTGGCTCTGTGGTGCGATCTCGCCTCATATCAATGTCATAAAATAATTTTTTTGCGCTATATATATATATGTATATATATATTTTAAACCACCAGTACATTTCGACTACTTTTTTTCCAATGCAGTGTGCATGTGGCTGCAAGTCTTAAGGGTAGGCCTACTGGATAAAAAAGGTTGGCGGTGTCAGTCAAATGAAGGCCTGTACTGATGCAATTTTTTTTTATTATACTTATAATAAAAAAAAATAACGACGACCTTGAAATTTCATCATCGAGTTGACTAGCCTCAGGCAAGTCATAATTCTTTTATTGCATACATCTAGGTCCTTCAGGATTCGAACTTGGGTATGCATTTCAACAGTTTATGGGTCATAATTAACTTATTTCAATTAACTAGTTCGATATGGGGTGAGGTTACACAAACAAAGAGAATTGGATTTAATGCTCAAATTTGGACGTGTGTTGTTGAACCTTGCAGAAAAGCTCGATTGATCTGCTTTTCTACATCTTTGCTTCAACTAATTCAGATTCAAGTGCTTATTCTGATCCTCTGTGCTCATGGGTCCACACTCCTGGACTTAAACACGAGGTTGTATATTACACCACGTGTACCTTTCCCCGCTTGAAAATAGAAGTCACGCCAGGAAGCCAAGCGGCAAAGGTCCGTTGTTGATAAATTTAGTCGGTGGCCCGTTTTTCGTTTTGGGCCTTCGAAACTGCTCGTGGCCGATATATGGGGAAGGTACTGGTAGTTTAACAGTTCATGTATACTAACGGAGTTCTAAACCACTACACGGCCATACATAGGCCGCGGACCCCTCGCCACGACCTTTGGAGGCTGGAAGTGAGACGAAGGCCATTGATGAAATTTATCAACAGCGGTCGGGCCCCGAGAGCTGCGGTGGTGGGGACAAGTTCATTTTCTGCAAGGCAGGGGCCGTGTACTGGTGGTATAAGGGAAGGGTCAACCGTACTGGCGCTGAACCGAACTATATCTTGCCTCAAATTCACCATTACAACCTACCTACCAGTACGCCGAAGCCTATACAGGGGAAGCCTATACAGGGGAAGCCTATACAGGGGAGCCCAACAAGCGTAGCTACCTCTCACATCAGGGGCATCGATATTGGTCCTCGCCTGAGTGTTGGCACAGGGCCGATGATGCCTATACAAAGTCGTCTGGTAAAAAGCAAGAACTCGGATTCAAATCTCTAAACGCACCATCCCCTTTCCCAGCGACGCCCCGCCGAAAATTTGTTTGGGGCTCCGCCTTTGGGAAGGAAAGGGTGGCCGCGCAAGGCAAAAGGAAAAGTTCGCGCCGGTGGTTTTTGGCGCGCAGAAGAATCCCGCGTCGAGGAGCGGGCCGACTTCGACGTCGGTGCAGAGAGCCCGGGCGGCGGCTGTCCATCGAACAGCCGTTGGCGCAGGTGTGGTGGCCCGCCGGGCAAATTACCGTTGGCGCAAAGCGGGCGGATGTTTGGCGCGACTGTGCAAGCGGAGGGAAGCAGCGAACGGTCTCAGGTTGCGCGAGCGAGAGAGAGAGGGAGTGTACCTGCTGTTGCTTCCCCAACCTCGCCACCGCCATCTCAGCGCACCTTCCGCCCACGTCGTGTGACCTTCCTCCTCCTTCCCACCACCTACGCCGCTATCTTCCACGACTACCTGAGCTCACAGGAAGGAAAGAGAGAGACAGAGCGAGAGAGAGAGAGCGAGAGAGAGCGAGAGAGAGAGAGAGAGAGAGAGAGAGAGAGAGAGAGAGAGAGAGAGAGAGAGAGAGAGAGAGAGAGAGAG